TCTGCAAGCTCCGCTTCCCGCTCCAGCACGTCATGGGAAATATTCTCGTAGCACCGCTGTAAATCGCCAAGCACAGAGATAACACTCCTATATTGGGAATCGGCGAGGATCGATCTGAAAGAAACACGCCAGATCCCGTCCGTGGTGTGCCTATGGGGGGGCATGTAGAACTCCTTGGCATCCAGGACCGATTTCTCCCACAACCGACTGTGAAGAGCGAGCGTTTTGGAGTACAACCGAACCAAACTCTGAAAAAATCCGATAGGCCTGAGGTCTCCAGAAGGTTTAGGAAACATCTGAACGCGAAGAAGCTGAACATCAGCAGGTTGGGTACCCAAGATCTTCATGAGAGTAAATAAACTGCTCAACGCATCCAGGCCCTCGGAACATAGGCTCCTCCTCCTCCCCCTCCCCCTCCTCTTCCTTCTCCTCCTCCTCCTCCTCCTCCGTCTCCTCCTCCTCCTCCTCCTCCCTCCCCCTCCCTCCGCATCGTCATATTTGTCCTCCTCCTCCGCCTCCGCCTCCGCCTCCACCTCCACCTCCTCTCCTCCTCCTCCTCCTCCTCATCCTCCTCCTCCTCCCCATCCTCCTCCGCCTCTCCCCCCTCTCACATCCTCATGTTCCCTCTCCTCCTCCTCATCATCGTCCTCCGTCTCCTCCCCATCCTCCTACCCAGTCTTCATCGCCTCAGTCTTGTCAGTATTAATATACCTCGTCGCCGTCGCCAAAGTATTATTGTTAGTAGTACTAGTAGTAGTGGTAGATGATGAGTAATAGTCGTATCATTCGTAGTGTTACTATTGTAACTAGTTTTGCGTACGCCTGTTCGTGTTAGCATGTAGGTGGCCTTAATCGTATTAGTATTATTCATAATAATAGAACCCGGTCGTTATGGCTATCCGTATTCGATTATGAATCGTAATAGTATGTAGTGATGCTACTAGCATTACGTATTTTACAATGCGTAATGTTGCTTAGTATTCTGAATCGTATGCCCCATCCGTCTGCTCGAACTAGTAATACTTGAATGGGTATGATTCGTAGTAGTCGTTTTGTTAGTGCCACTCGTATTACGATCAGTCTTCATGCTCTCCGTATTAATATACTGTTGGCAGTAGTACTAGCATTCGCCGTCATAGTAATATTAGTACTCTTCTGATTATCCGTAGTATCGTTTGTAGTGGTATTCCTCCTCCTCCCCCTCTGCCGCCGCCCCCGCAACCTCCTCCTCCTCCTCCTCCTCCTGTTCCCCCGGCCTCCTCCTCCTCCTCCTCCTCCTCCTCCTCCGCCTCCTCCTCCTCCTCCTCCTCCTCCTCCTCCTCCTCCTCCTCCTAAGCCTCTTCATCGTCTTCCTCCTCCGCCTCATCATCCCCCTCCTGTTCATCCTCCTCCTTCGCCTCCGCATCCTCCTCCTCATCCACCTCCTCCTCTTCCTCTTCCGTCTCCTCCTCCGCCTCATCATCCTCTTCCTCATCATCCTCCTCTTCCTCCTTCACCTCCTTCTCCTGCTCCTTCTGCTCCAACTCCTCCCCCTCCTCCTCTTCTTCGTCCTCCTCCTCCTCATCATCATCATCCTCCTTCCCCCCCCTCCTCCTCCGCCTCCTCCTCGTCCTCCGCCTTTTCCGCCCTTTCATCCTCCTCCTCCTGCTCCTCATTCTCCTCCCCCGCTTCCCCTCCCGTTCCTCCTCCGCCCATCCCTCCTCGCCCCACCTCCTCCCTCCTCCCTCCCCCCTCTTCCCTCCTCCCCCATACCTCTGCCATCATCCCTCCTCCCTCCTCCCTCATCCGGCCTCCCTCCTCCTCCTCCTCTCCTCCTCCTCCTCCTCCTCCTCCTCCTCCTCCTCCTCCCTCTCCCTCCTCCCTCCTCCTCTTCCTCCTCCTCCTCCTCCTCCTCCTCCTCCTGTTCCTGCCCCTCATCCTTAACAGCATCCTCATCTCCGTATTATGATTCCTCCTCATTCTCCTCCTCTCGTCCTCATCCTCCTCATCCTACGATTCCTATCCTCCGCCTCCTCCTCCTCTTCCGCCTCCTCCTCCTCCTCCGCCTCCGCTTCCTCATCGTCCTCCTCATCCGCCTCCTCCTCTCCTCCTCCTCCTCCTCCTCCTCCTCCTCCTCCTCCTCCTCCTCCTCCTCCTCCCCTCCTCCTCCTCCTCCTCCTCCTCCTCCTCCTCCTCCTCCTCCTCCTCCTCCTCCTCCTCCTCCTCCTCCCTCCCCCTCGTCCTCTCCTCCTCCTCCTCCGCCGCTCCTCTCCTCATCCTCCTCCTCCTCCTCCTCATCATCATCGTCATCATCAGCATCATCAGCATCAGCATCAGCATGAGCATCAGCATGAGCATCAGCATCACCATCATCATAAACATCATCATCATCATCATCATCATCATCATCATCATCATCATCATCATCATCATCATCATCATCATCATCATCATCATCATCATCGTCGTCGTCGCCATCATCATCATCATCATCATCAGCATCATCATCATCACAATCACCAGCATCATCACCATCAGCATCATCAGCTGCAGCATCATCAACATCAGCATCATCGGCATCACCATC